TGCTGATGATGTCACTGGAAGAACTCTCTATGTAAGACTTGCTGCATCTGAGGTTCCGAATCAGAAAAATAACAAGGGAGTTATTATTGGTTCTGTTGTGGGTTCAGTGGCTGCACTAATTGGCTTAGTCCTTGTTGCTGTTGTCATTCTGAGGAGGCAAAGGAGATCAGTCGGAACTACAAACGCAGTTGAGGGTTCATTGGTGGCATTTGGGTACAAAGATCTGCAGATTGCAACAAAAAATTTCTCGGAGAAACTGGGAGGAGGAGGTTTTGGCTTTGTATCCAAAGGGACATTGCCTGATTCTACTGTTATAGCAGTGAAGAAGCTCGCAAGTGTCAGTCAAGGAGAAAAGCAATTCCGAACAGAAGTTAGCACAATTGGGGCTATCCAACACGTTAATCTTGTTCGCCTTCGTGGGTTCTGCTCTGAAGGTGATAAGAGGTTGTTGGTGTATGATTACATGCCCAATGGCTCTTTGGATTCCCATCTTTTCCATGAAAAGGATTCCAAGGTTTTGGACTGGAAAACCAGGTACCAGATTGCACTTGGGACAGCTAGAGGGTTAGTTTATCTCCATGAAAAGTGCAGGGACTGCATCATACACTGTGATATAAAACCAGAGAACATTCTTTTAGATGCTGATTTATGTCCAAAAGTGGCAGATTTTGGTCTGGCAAAGCTTTTAGGGCGAGAATTCAGCAGGGTTCTGACAACGATGAGAGGGACAAGAGGCTACCTTGCACCAGAGTGGATATCAGGTGTAGCCATAACGGCCAAAGCTGATGTTTATAGCTATGGTATGATGCTTTTTGAAGTTGTATCAGGGAGGAGAAATTCTGAGCAATCTCAAGATGGGAAGGTCAAATTCTTCCCGACTTGGGCTGCTAGTGTGATAGTTGAAGGTGATGTTCTTAGCCTATTAGACCCCAGGTTGGAGGGAGATGGTGATGCAGAAGAGGTAACGAGAATATGTAGAGTGGCTTGTTGGTGCATTCAAGATGATGAAAATTATAGGCCATCAATGGGTCAGGTAGTTCAGATCCTTGAAGGGGTTTCGGAAGTGAACCTGCCTCCAATCCCGCGGTCTCTCCAATTGTATGCTGACAACCAGGAGCATATAGTTTTCTTCACTGAGTCATCCTCAAGCCAGAGTTCACAGGCACAAAGCAATCCCTCCACTGCTTCCTCTCAGGCCAAGAGCATCACATCACCAAGGAGTTCCAAGTCCTGAAGATGATAGAAGAGGATATTTTTGCGATGTCAGCATTCAGTAAAGTATATATTTTCTTCATGCACGCATCATAGCCTAAAGCAATAGTTAGTGGTGGCTTTTGTATTTCCAGTTACATGTTGTTTGTATATCTGTTTGAAACCTTGGTTTTGAATCTTCAGTTAATGTCATTGGCTTATACTTTCTTGTCTTTAATATTTGTTCATTTTCGTGTATGGAAGCAAATTAAGTTCCAAGAGTTTGAGAAACTGACATACATTTTTTTTGTAAGTTGGAATTGGGATCGGCCATTTTAGATTTCTATAATCCTCACTTTAATCCGTTGAATTTAATCTACCATATGAAGCCTCTCGAGTGTAATTTTTGCTGCCAATTAAAAGCAAGAAAGTGTTTGCATAAATTGACGTTGGAACTTCCCAGTGAGCATGTGCCTGTCACGTGCTCTTGTTTAATTCGCTTTATGCCTAAAAAACCCCTCAGTCCATTACGTGAATGGCAGCAGCACCTGTTAGTCATCGTCATCATCAGATCGAGTGTTCTGCTGGAGGTCGGTGGTGTGAGGTTCTGCTACGGCTGCCACATGGAACATACCTGCTCCCAAACAGGTAATTCTTTTTAATTTCTAACTTTTTTTTGATTTGTTTCAGGAAAGTTCTCAAAGACTTGGAAACTAATGCATATATAATCGATACTGAATCAATCAAATGATGAGTAATTTTCAAGGTGTATTCTTTTACAACGATGGATTTCACAGACTTCCAAATAACAATTACACAAACTCAGAATCAACCAAAAATGAACTATCGTATCTCATAGTCATAGATGAAATGTGTTACAGTACTGTGATGCCTCTTCTTCTGGTTTCTGTCTCGAGACCTTCATTGTCTCTTTTGTGGCTTTGGTTTCGTCACTTTGTCTTTGCCTTTTCATGAATGTTTTTGGTTTAGCCTCTTTGGGCTTTGTTTGGTTCTCTTTGGGCCTTTGGTTGGTTGTTTCATGTTTGTGACCTTCAGGCCATTGGGTTTTGTTTACTCTCTGAGAGAGTCTCTGTACACTTCCTATTTTCTTTTTTATATAAAGGTGACCCATTTTGCCAATAAAAAATAAAAAATTTAATTTGTTTACCTTTAAGACTGTTTAGTTGAACGTTTGCAAATTATAACTCTACCAATGTATGAAATATACTTTCAAATAAATAAATCATATTCATCAAGTAAATTAAATACATTTTGGGTGAATACATGCATATTTGAAAAGAAAAAAAAAAAAAGTATCCTGTAATACATTTTGGGTGAATACATGCATATTTGAAGATTAATATCCTATAATAAGTAATAGAATTCATACTCCAACTAGAACGTGGTCCTTCTTAAATGATATTGGCACTGTCTCTTTTATAAGTCATAACCCCTGCAATGAAAGCACAACTACTCTGCTTTCTCCTAATCTGGTTAATCTTAAACAACTTTAACTTGAATAGTAAAAACGGCCAATTGCATATATAAAATAAAAAAACTGACTTTATATCGATTTGCATTAAATTCCCATTATGAATTTTTTTCTCAAAAAAACTCCCCAATAAACGAGGGAGATTATTGAAAGAGACCGATATTTAAAAAGGCAAAAAAATAGGGTCTATTTTCATGTTACTAAAACAGAGAAACTAAGGTCATTTGGAGAACAAGTTTCAATAACCAATTTGAATGTAAAGTGGAGAGCATTGCAGCTGAAGTGTATATGGAGAGGAGTGTCTTGTCAGTGGGTTAGGTTATTCTATATCACAATCTCTACGTACAATACAATCAGACACGGATGTACTGTGGGCTTAGTGGGACATCCGCTGCCACTAAATTTTTTTGTTATTGCGTTTTACATTCCTAAATTTGTATTTTTTTTTTATATATTTATACCCATAAAAATTTGAAATTGTTTCCACTAAAATTATGAAAAAATACCTCTATATAAATTTGCCCTCCATATAAATTTCTAGATCCATCCCTGAATACGATTAATGAAGTGGAGAATGCTAAATTGTTGTCTTTAATTTATTCTCTCTCCTTGTGAAATAAATAAGTAAAAATAATAAATGGATAGCCAAGATAGTGGACTGCACATAATGGGACACAATTGGTAAAAAGATTTGAATAGAGAATCCACAACTGCACACGGAATGCCCTAAGAAATAATGCAAAAACCACACTCTATGAATTTAAGTAACCAAGAGGGCCAAACATTTCACTAATACTCATAGTTCTTTGACCTGCGGCCCACTAAAAGGCTGTGAGCAACTTTGTTAGAAGATCTAGGAGCCCAACGAAGAGAGAGGCCTTTGTGATTGTCCAACACATTTGAAACATCCTCAAAAGGAAAGGATAATTGTTGCATTTCCATGCCAGGACTGAGATTCATAACCTTCCACATCCACATCCACATCCACATCGCAATAGCCCCAATGAGTGAGCAAAAGAAGAGCTTCTCTCAACACCATAGCTATAGCTTTTGCAACTTCAACACAATTGACTCTCCCAGGAAAAGAGTAGCCGCTCGTACGTGCCTTCCTAACGAATAAATCTCTAAGAATAACACTACCCCTACGTCTAAAGTAGAACCATTAAAAGACAAATTTAACTTTAATCTTCCTGCCATTGGAGCACTGGCAGATTTAAGGGAGCCTAGCCCAAATTTTATTTATTTTTAAATTTTATTACTATATTAAATTTTAGCTCAATCAAAAAAATAAAAAATAAAAAATAATATTACTAGTATTAGTCTACTTTAAAAAATATTAGCCCATTCATTTGGCAATTCTGAATTCGTCTTGAATTAAAGTCGTCCAAAGATGCAGAGAATGAGAATTAGCAGATAAAAGAAACTTTCACGAGGCTGTCGTGCTTAGAATCTTCCACAAACTCTTGGGGGTTGGAGAGAGCTCTATTAAGAATTGACTGAGGTTCCATTTAACTCTATTAAAATACCAATTGTTTCTACCTCTCCAGAATTATTTCTTTAATTTTTTCATTTTTTTTTTTTTTGCCTCTTTTACTCTTTAATTTAATTCTTTTTAAAAATGGGGTTGAATTTCAGTTTTTGAATCAAACGTTAATTGTTTTTCTTTCAAAATTTTCTCATTTTTCCTTCCTATTCATTTATTTTATATTACTTATTGATTGAGATATTATTTTATAGTATTTTTTTTTTTTTATCTATCAATTTGAAGAATCTATAATTTTTATTTTCTTTGAATTTTATTTTTTATTTTTTACATTGTGCCATCCTTGTCTGACTCCCCCTCTTGTCATGAAAGGAAAATATTCCTTAACGTACGGCTGTTAACCCAGCTAACATGGGTCTTTTCTCATTCGCTGTAAAGAAATATAGGGAAGTGTTTGTTGGGAAATAAAATATATTTCAGGATTTTGTTTTTTTAACTCAAGTTATATCAACTTATACGTAGTACTCCGTATTTATTTACTACAAAAGAAGATATATATGTAGGCGTAATTAAACGAGAATAAGAAGGGAGAGAAGAAATTCAGATTTTTCTTCATAGCCAATCGAACCATGTTGATTTCCGATATCGGGCCAGTACAATTGGATATAGGATACCTCAGGTTTCAGAATGGTTAAAGCGCAAAACAGTCCAGAAAGCAAAAGTAACCGTCAACTTCTTGGATCATGACTTTTGTTGGCCTTTGACTCATGTTTTCTTCGTGGAAAATGATACTCCGTATATTTTAGGCAGAAGACTTTTCTACAAAAGACTTGTCTTCGACTGAAGTATCACTCAAATGATCTGACCAGTTCTCTTCCCTATCTATCTCACATTAATCTTTACTCTTCGAATATCTGTGCAGCTATGGGTACCAGAAGCAATCCAAGCTTCATACTTTCTGTGCTCCTCCTGTGCTTCTCTCTCAACACCCATATCCTCTTTGGGGCTGACACCATCTCTGCAAACCAATCTCTCTCTGGGGACCGAACAATCGTCTCATCTGGTGAAACTTTTAAACTGGGTTTCTTCAAAGCAGGTAACTCTTCCAATTTCTACATAGGCATGTGGTACAATAAAATGTCTGAACAAACTATAGTTTGGGTAGCAAACAGAGATACACCAGTCTCTGACATTTACTCATCGGAATTGAAAATTTTAGATGGTAATTTAGTGCTTGTCAATGAGTACCAAACCCCAATTTGGTCCACAAACATAAGCTCTACCAATTCAACTTCTTTAGTAGCAATTCTTCGTGATGATGGTAATCTTGTTTTTGGGGATGGGCCTAATGTAACCCAACCAAGTTGGCAAAGTTTTGATCATCCAGCCCATACATGGTTGCCAGGTAGTAAGATTGGATTTAACAAACTAACTAAAAAAAATCAACTTCTTACTTCATGGAAGAATTCAGAGAATCCTAAAGCGGGGCTATTCTCTCTTGAGCCAGATCCAAATGGTAGGCAGTATCTTATTCGTTGGAATAGGTCTGTCCAATACTGGACTAGTGGGGCTTGGAATGGTCATATTTTCAGTTTAGTACCAGAAATGAGGTTGAATTATATCTATAATTTTAGTTATGAAAGCAATGAAAACGAGAGTTATTTTACGTATTCCCTTTATAATCCATCAATTATTTCTAGAACTATTGTGGATATTTCGGGGCAAATTAAACAACTCACTTGGTTGGAAACTACAAAGTCATGGAATTTGTTTTGGTCTCAACCAAGACAACAATGTGAAGTTAATGCTTATTGTGGGGCATTTGGTGCCTGCAATCAGATTAGTCAATCCTTCTGTAATTGTTTGCATGGTTTCAGTATTAAGTCCATGAATGATTGGAATTTGAGTGATTATTCTAGCGGGTGTGAGAGAAGAACTGTACTGCAGTGTGGGAATACCAGTGCTGCAAATGGGGAAGTAGATAGATTCTGGGAAAATCCACACATGGGATTGCCTCAAAATCCTCAATCTGTGCCTGTTGGGAGTGATGCAGAATGTAAATCAGCCTGCTTGAATAACTGCTCTTGCACTGCTTATGCTTATGAAAGCAATGCGTGCTCAATTTGGATTGGAGAACTCTTAGATCTGCAACAACTCTCTGCTGATGATGTCACTGGAAGAACTCTCTATGTAAGACTTGCTGCATCTGAGGTTCCGAATCCGAAAAATAACAAGGGAGTTATTATTGGTTCTGTTGTCGGTTCAGTGGCAGCACTAATCGTCTTAGGCATTGTTTTTGTCGTGGTTGTGAGGCGGAAAAGGAGATCAGTTGGAACAGCAAAAATAGTTGAGGGTTCATTGGTGGCATTTGGGTACAAAAATTTGCAGATTGCAACAAAAAATTTCTCAGAGAACCTTGGAGGAGGAGGTTTTGGCTCTTTATCCAAAGGGACATTGCCTGATTCTACTGTCATAGCAGTGAAGAAGCTTGAAAGTACCAGCCAAGGAGAAAAGCAATTCCGAACAGAAGTCTGCACAATCGGGGCTATCCGACATGTTAATCTAGTTCGCCTTCGAGGGTTCTGCTCTGAAGGTGATAAGAGATTGTTGGTGTATGATTACATGCCGAATGGCTCCTTGGATTCCCATCTTTTCCATGAAAAGGATTCAAATTATAAGGTTTTGGACTGGAAAACAAGGTACCAGATTGCACTTGGGACAGCCAGAGGGTTAGATCATCTCCATGAGAAATGCTGGGACTGCATCATCCACTGTGACGTAAAACCAGAGAACATTTTTTTAGATGCTGATTTCTGTCCAAAAGTGGCAGATTTTGGACTGGCAAATCTTTTAGGGCGAGAATTCAGCACGGTTCTGACAACCATGAAAGGGACAAGAGGCTACCTTGCACCAGAGTGGATGTCAGATTTAGCCATAACAGCCAAAGCTGATGTTTATAGCTATGGTATGATGCTATTTGAATTTGTATCGGGAAGGAGAAATTCTGAGCAATCTCAAGACGGGAAGATCAAATTCTTCCCGGCTTGGGCTGCTAGTGTGATCGCCGAAGGTGCTGTTTTTAGGCTATTGGACCCCAGGTTGGAGGGAAATGCTGATGCAGAAGAGGTATCAAGAATATGTAGAGTGGCTTGTTGGTGCATTCAAGATGATGAAAATCGTAGGCCATCAATGGGTCTGGTAGTTCAGATCCTTGAAGGGATTTTGGATGTTAATCTGCCTCCAATCCCACGATCTCTCCAAATGTTGGTTGACAGCCAGGAGCATACAATTCTCTTCACCGAGTCATCCTCCAGCCAAGAGCATGCACCACTGCTTCCTCTCAGGCCAGGAGCATCTCATTATTAAGGAGTTCCAAGTCCTGAAGACAATGGAAGAGGATATTTTAGGACTCCAGCATTCAGTTAAAGTACATATGCTCTTCATTTATGCATCATAGCCTGAAGGAATAGTTAGAGGTGGCTTTTGTCTTTCCATTGCATAATTGTTGTTTGGTTTTAAATCCTCAGTTAATGTCATTGGCTTATGTTTTCTCCACTGCATTGTACTTTTCTTAGTCTTTGAGATCCGTTCATTTTCATGTATGGAAACAACTTAAGTTGCAAGAGTTTGAGAAACTGACATACTTTTTAAGAAATTAGAATTGGAATTGGAATTGGAATTTGCTTCACTTTCTTCCCAGTAGAATTTAGATTTCTATAATCGGTGCTTCAATCCATATAATTTAGTCCTACTTATATCTTGGGGCTGAATGAATCCCAAGGAAGTTGTCTTACTCTGAAAACTCTTTCTTTTGAAGCCTTTCATCATATGCCAAAATCAAAACTATATGAAACACATGTTTCTTTTCTCGCTAAACTAAAGTTATTAACCATTTCCTTCCGAACCTTGGCAAAAGTGTTTATGAACAGTGAAGATTATATGATACCATTTGGAGGGGAAAGGAAACCAATTGTAGATGCTTCAACACTACTCTAAACTTGCTTCTTTAGGGAGGTAACTTACAAAAAAATGTGATCCTTCTATAGCGGAAAATGGTTTTCCTGGAACTAACAGAGCCATTTGAACTTTGACAGAAAAATTGTAAACGTGAAACAAAATATCCTGAATTGTTCACTTTTTTAAAAATCAACCCAAGTCCTAAACCATGCTTGAGATAAAAAAAGAGTGAAACATTTCCACATCATAATGGTGGATATTCTTGCCCTCTATCTTTCTCAAGTGTTCCTTCGGTACTTCTCATTCAACTTCAGGAAGCCTCTCGAGTGTAATTTTTGCTGCCAAAAGTAAAAATCGTTCTTCTAAAATGCTAAGTACTAAACTTTGGATTAATTCATCTTGGAAGTTCCTTAGGGTTGCTTCCAGTGCACCCACCATTAATTCATATTGGTCGTGTAATGTGTGATGCAGAGGTGACCACTGAAAGTAGCAATTTAACTTCAGTAAAGAGAGACTTGAAAATTCCAAACACAGACAAATTTGGGATGATTAAATTAGTTTTATATTTCTAAGAGCACTGTTGTTGGTGATGGTTGGATTATTTAACACTTCTCATTCTAATACATAATCACAGATGATTATTAGAACTATTAGGCAAAACCAATCTACCAAAGAAAAGAAAAAGGAAGCACCAAATATTGAAACCAATCAATTTTCTTTGACTTTTGTTCAAGTATTTTTAGTAGATCTATTTCTAACTTTTCTTGTGTTTGTTTCAATAATATTCGCTAAACCTCTTAAAGACTTGGAAACTAATGCATTTTATGAATACTGAATCGATCAAAAATTGACTAATTTCCAAGGTGTATTCTGACAACGATCTCATCCACTGACTTCCAAATAATTATCACACAAACTCATAATCAACCAAAAATGAGTTTTATAACTAATTTTCAGAAAACTGAATCAAGCAGAGTTTTTTTTACAGTTTTTTTATTTTCATTTTTTTAAAAATAAAAAATTGTTCTAAAAGTTACAAACTAAGCAGTATCTTATAACTGAGTTTTCAAAATATAGTTTTCAAAAAATTGAATCAAGAAAAGTTTTTTTTGTTTGGTATAGTGTTCAATTTTTAGTTTTCTGAGAATAAAAAACTGTTTCTACAATTACAAACCAAACAAGCCAACTTCAGGAAAGGGAGACATGGAAATTCTAAAATTAGAAATAAATTTGGTATGATTAAATTAGTTTTATCTAAAGAGCACTGCTGTTGGTGATGGTTGGATTTATAACAGTTCTCATTCTAATACATAATTACAGATGATTATTAAGATTATAGGCAAAACTATGGTCTACCAAAAGAAAATAGAAAGGAAGCAGCATATATTGAAACAAATCAATTTTATTCGACTTTTATTTCTAACTTTTCTTGATTTGTTTCAAAATTCATGAAACCTCTCAAAGACTTGGAATTTGGAAACTATTGCATTACATATTGAATCAATCAAATGACTAATTTTCAAGGTGTATTCTTACAAAGGTCTGTTCACTTGACTTCCAAATAAGTAACTCAGTCATTCAAAAATTATCTTATTGTTGCAAGTGGGATCGAATTGTGATGGCAAAGTGAGTGGGTATACATGAATTGGGTGTTAGTCCTATCAAATAACTTAATTTTTTTGGATTAAATCGTGAATCACGCAAATTGTTACAGTTATTTTTAAAGCTAGATCCATGCTTACTTTGCTAAGGCAAAATTTGAAACAAAAAAATGATCTCCACCCGAATCTTCAAATTTTTTATATGTTAAATTCATTTGAGATATAATGTGCAAATTGACATATCTATATAAGAACTCCACCTAATATATCAAATTTATTAATTTATTAATATTTTGGCATATCTTTATTAATCTTTTGACATATCTCCATGCAAGTTTGACTGATATGTGAATATATTAAAATAATATAAATAATTCATTTGGCATGCATGTATTGAATATGTCAAATTTGACATATTTAATTCATTTGGAGGAGTTTTTCATACTAAAATTAGGAGTGAACAAAGAATTCATCAATTCGGTCCGAATCAATCCGATTCTTGTGGTTCTATTCAGTTTTTAGATCTCATGGTTCGGTAATGATTTAGAAAAATAGCAATAAGTTATTCGCAGTTTGGTTAACAAATTGAGCTCAGGAATTCGTTAACTGAATCGATCCGATCCATTACCTTAGTATATATATATATATATACTTACTGTATTTCTATTTTTTTTTATTAATTATTTAAGACTCTAACCCTAGGTCACCAAAGTCATTAGTCATTTAGGTTTTTAATTACTAATTTGAGATTTTAATAGGCCATAAAGTGTGATATTGGACTGTTTGAAAAGTCTAATTATTCCGATCCGTGAGTTTGGTTTAGATTGAAGGTCTTCATAAATCGGTTCAGTTTCAAATTTTATCAATCCGTGGAGACTGAATTAAATTGAACCTTATCTCCAAATTGAACCGATTCGATCCGTAATTAACCCTAACCAAAACAAGCAGTTGAAGGAGCCAACTAAAATTTAATAAACTGGTTTAAAAACCACCTAATATTATGGATGGTCTCTCATTTGCGGACCCCTTTTTCACATCACAAAGATAATACCCGTAAAAGTTTGACGTCACTTGTTGCAATTTCAAAATTTTAGAAATTAAAGTAATATTATAAAGACAAAAATGTCTATTTTTAAAAAGAGCATATTGCATAAACTCCCTTTAACTATTAAATTTCTGTACAAAACCCTCTCGATAGAAATATAAGAAAATTTAGGTTTTCTTTAAAATAAGTTTCATTTAGTTTTTCTTTCCCATTTTTATTTCAAAAAAGAATATTAGAAATTAAGATAAAATTTAAAATTATGTAAAAATGATGTTACAATGATGAATATGCTCCTTAATAAAAATTAAAATTTTCCTTTAAAATAATTTCCATTTTATGTTTTTTTTTTCTATTAATTTTTAAAAATAAATAACTTAAGTAAAATTTAAAATGATACAAAAATTCAATTGATATAAATTTAACAAAAAAAATTCTTTAAAATAATTTTCATTTGAATTTTTCTTGTCCTTTTCAATTTATAAAATTTATGAAAATCTAAAAATTATTCCCAGGTATAAATAAAAACGTCAAACTTTCAGTCTCATTTTATCGTTTCTTGTTGGTAGTATATTAATTCTTACTAATGTTTTTCTTTATCATTTATTTTCATTGACTATACAAGTGTAAACAAATTTGTAAATTGTTCAAAGGTATAAAGAAAACATAAAATGAAAATTATTTTTGAAAATCTAATTTTTAAAATTTCTTTTAAAGACCATTTTCATAATCAAAACATAAATATAATGGTCTGTAATTTAAAAAAAAAAAATTAAATTTATATTTTTTTGGAAATTCAAGAGGAAGAGGAAACCTAAAATGAAAATCTAAATTTTATTAAATATCTGTTAAGGAGGGTTTTGTGCAAAATCTGATAGTTTCTTAAAATTCAACTAAAGGCATTTTCATCATTATAATATTGGAGTAGTTTAATTTCCAAAAATTCGATTGTCCAGAGTAGCATCGATCGGTTATAAGCATTGGGTATGAAAGAGGAAGTCAGAATTTTCTTTATAGCGAATGGAACGAAGACGACGGATCTTCTTCTCTCGAGTGCGATCGACCTATTGAGTTCCAATCTAGGGCAGTACAATCGGAGACTGAGGCCGAACTGTGAGTCTCCCGACGAAGATAGAACCAATAGCGACGGAAGTGGCTAATCCGGCGAAGAGGATCAGTGAAGACGAAGATCTGATCGAAGCAGACGATGACGTTTTACCTCATGTTTCAGAATGGTTAAAGGGCAAAACATTCCAGCAGGCAAAAGCAACCTAAACTTTTCTCTCATGACTTTTGTTGCACTTTTAGACTCAACATTTTCTACAAGAAAAATGACAAGTAGGCAGAAGACTTTTCAGAACTGAAAATTTTAGATGGTAATTTAGCGCTAGTCAATAAGATTTCTCTGCTTTCTCTCTCTCTCTCTCACATATCTTTACCCCTCGAATATCTGTGCAGCCATGGGTATCAGAAACCATCCAAGCTTCATTCTTACTGTGCTCTTCCTATGCTTATCTCTTAACATCCATCTCTTCTTTGGGGCTGACACCATCTCTGCAAACCAACCTGTCTCTGGGGACCAAACAATTGTCTCATCTGGTGGAAAATTTGAACTGGGTTTCTTCACACCAGGTAAATCTTCCAAATTCTACATAGGCATGTGGTACAAGAAATTGTCTCCTCACACTATAGTTTGGGTAGCAAACAGAGATATACCTGTCTCTGATAAGTACTCATCAGAACTGAAAATTTTAGATGGTAATTTAGTGCTTGTCAATAAGTCCCAAACCCCAATTTGAACCACAAACATCTCTACCATTTCAAATTCTTTACTAGCAATTCTTCGTGATGATGGTAATTTTGTTTTTGGGGATGGACCTAATGTAACCCAACCAATTTGGCAAAGTTTTGATCATCCAGCCCATACATGGTTGCCTGGTAGTAAGATTGGATTTAACAGACTCACTAATAAAAGTCAACTTCTTACCTCATGGAAGAATTCAGAGAATCCTACAGCGGGACTTTTCTCTCTTGAGCTAGACTGGACTAGTGGGGCTTGGAATCAGTATCTTATTCGGTC